CCAGGCTCTTTAGCTGCTGCATCAGTTTCCTTGGCAACACCTAAGAAGGCCTTGGATTGAGGAGGGCCTGGCTAGGTAAGATGAGGGCCCTCTTGTTCTTGAGGTCTCCAAAGTAGGCAAAAGGTAGGCTGAGAGGTGGCCAGCCCATGGTCCTGAGGGATCTTGGAGGCCTGGGCAGCCCCACACTGGTTCTGGGTTCCTGGAAGAAGTCCAGTGGGAAGAGAGAGTTATGAGCAGAGCCACCTGTTAGCGGACAAGTCTAAAGAGCCAGCACACACTTCCCATGAGGAATCCTGGCTGGGCTGCCTGTGCCCCCTCTAACCCCATGACTGTGCCACTGGAAAGAGCCCCTGGGTGTCCAGCAGAGGGTGGGGGTTGGGGGTAGCTGTGGCCCTTCCCAGCAGGGGGCCAGTCAAAGAAACAGGGCTGGGTTTCCCCTCTGGCAATCTGAGCTCTTGACCTCAGCAGTGTTTTTTCATTGCCAAGGGAACTGCATCCACAAAGGGCCACTCAAGCCCCAGGCATTCCAGTGGCTGCTCCAACAGGCTAGAGACACTCACCACAAGCTAGATATGGCAGGGGCCCCAGGCATTAACACCAGGACATGACCTTGAGACACCCCCCTCCCACCACCTGGTCCTCCCAGCTCTCTGGGCTGAGCATAGCTGCCTAGGAGGAATAAATTGAGGCTAGACCACCCCTAGGTCGTCCCGGGCTTCAGATCCCAGCTGCACCCCTTGCTAGCTGTTTCACCTCTGTCCATTTATCTAGGCTGAGCCTCGGTTTCTCCTGTTTGAACAGGGGTGATCTCTTCCTGATGATTATTATGAGACATAGCAAACACGAAATGCAGAGGCACAGTAGTTGGCTCAAGTCTGGCACACAGTAATATCTCACTAAGAACAGTTTTATCATCATCCTTGGTTGGATGAAGCAAGTTAGGTGAATTTGTGGTCCCTCTCCTGCTTCTACTCCACTCTCTCCAGGACAGTAGTCGGCCCAAGAGTGAGGCAGAGGTCTCAGGAATAATACAGACACCTTTCACCTAACCCCATACCCATGTCTTCTCTCTGTGGGACCCCACACTCTTCCCCATCCCTTAGGTGACAAGATGTTGCTAAGGGATCTGGGCTGGGCTTCAGTGTCCCCACCACCTCCTCACACCATAGCCTTTAGGCCCCAGGGCCTCTGCTGTGTTCTAAGGCCCCACCATTCATTCATTCCACGGACTTGTACTAAATACCTACTGTGTGCCAGGCCCTCATGCTGGGGGCAGGATGATGAGCAAAAATAGACATGGCTGGGCATGTTCACACATGTCATCTAATCCCTGGGTCAAACTCAGCTATGATTTGTTGTTCCCATTTTGTAGACATGGTAACCAAGGCCTGAGGGGTCACAGGCCAGAAAAAACAGAGCCAGACATACCTGGTGGAGGGTTTCAGGAACCTCAGGCTTCACCACCCCCAGTACCTCCGTGTCCTCAGATAGCACCTGGGGTTCCAGAAAGTTCCTTGGGCGCTGGCCCAGGATGCACAGATGGTGGCCCTGCAGGCAGCCAACAGCCAGGCACAGATGAGTCAAGAGTGACAAGGGGACTATTTGATACACCAGCTGTGGCATGAGCAGTTTGAGGTCCCTTACCCACCGTGGCTTGGCTGCCAGGAGGGCCAGCTGAATGACTCAGCCACACCTGCTGCCCCATGACTCCCCTCTTCACCAGCTCAACACAGACACCATGACCACCTCAGACAGGGACTGTCAAGCAGAAGGTACACACAGCCCAGGGTGTGAGGCCTTCCTCGGGAAGGCTCCCTGGGGCCCAACTGCTCACCTACCTCTTTGGAGCCCTCAGCTTCCTCATCTGTGTGGGATACAGTGCCTACATCATTGGACCTAGGCCTAGACCCATTTAAATCTCCCAAGAGCAGTCCCGAGCAGTTGCCATGACTGTCTCCCTATCACAGATGAAGCTGCTCAGGGCCTCCTTTACTCCCCAGACAGAAGTTTTCTTGTTGTTGTTTTGAGACAGGGTCTTGCTCTGTTGCCCAGGATGGAGTGCAGTGTTGCAATCAGTTCACTGCAGCCTCAATCTCCTGGGCTTGTCAAGAGATCCCCCCACCTCAGCCTCCCAAATAGCTAGAACCACAGGCTTGCACCACCATTCCCCACTTTTTTTTTAGAGACAGGGTCTTGCTATGTTCCCCAGGCTTGTCTCAAACTGCTGGGCTCAGGTGATCCTCTCACATCAGCCTCCCCAAATGCTGGGATTACAAGTGTGAGCCACTGTGCCCAGCTAGAAGTCTTGAGAAGTAAATTAGAGTATCCCTTGGTATCCACAGGGGATTGGTCCCACGATCCCCATGAATCCCCAAATCCATGAATACTCAACTCCCTTACATATATTTTACTTTATTTTTTAAATTCAACTGAAGTGGCTGAGATCAAGTCCCTTACATAAAATGGCACAGTATCTGCATGTAACCTCTGCACATCCTTCCATATACTTTTTCTCCAGATTACTACTGTAATACCTAATACAATGTAAATGCTATGCAAGTAGTTGTTAGACTGTGTTGTTTAGGGAATGATGACAAGAAAAAAGTTTGTATATGTTCAGTTAAAGACACAGTCATCCTAGGCCTGACTACAGTTTTGATCCACAGTGGGCTGTACTCATGGATGTAGAAGCCATGGATAATGGAGGTCTGGCTACATTTATTCTAGAAGCCCATTTCCTGTCCTAAAAATTGGGGATAAGAACAGAACAGCAAGCTAGGCGTGTTGGCACGTGCCTGTAGTCCCAGGTATTCAGGAGGCTGAGGCAAGAGAATCTCTGGAACCCAGGTATTCAAGGCTGTAGTGAGCTATAATCACACCTATGGATAGCCACCGTACTCCAGCCTGGGCAACATAGTGAGATCCTGTGTCTCAAAAAAAAAAAAGAGAGAAAGAAACTGCTGCACAGGGCTGGAGAACGGACTGGCTAGAAATAAGTGTAAAGCCCTCGGCTGAATGCCACTCTCAGGACAGGCTCAATGTTGTCAGCAGGCCCCCAAGAACAGACTTGCAAAAGGGCCAGGATTCCTGCTGAGGCTTCTCTGCCTGCAATCACATCTGATCCTCAGTAGGGATGGAGTGGGATTGTGCACTGCTTCTTAATATTGCCATTTATCCTCAGAGAATGAGACTAAGACAGGAGGGATATTTCCCCTGGGAAAGCAATCCTAACCAGCTAAACTGAGGTCTAAGCCCTATAGTCTGTCCAGGTGGCCAAATGCAATCTGGGCACAGGGCCAAGGAGGAGCAGAGGCCAGAGACCAAGCACATCACTTAACTGCACTGAGCTTCCCTCTTACTCACACGCCTTTGGGAGAGCTGATGGGGAGGGTGCCTCAGGTTCCCTTCAACAGAGAAATCGAATGTCACTGCCCTGACCAGGGGATCAGACTGAGCATCACTAACAGCAGGAAAAGCTGGCATCGCACACCTACTAGTGGGTTTATAAAATACATATGCTGCTCCCCTGGGCAGGGTTTTCATCAAAAAGCTCAAACCTGGACTCATTTAGGCCTTTAGACCAACTTCCAGTCACAGGCAACACAAATCAGGAATAAATCAGACTGCAGGACTGGGACTTCTCTGAACTTTTCAAAAAAATCACTGTGAAGAGAGATAAACGGACGGGCATGGTGGTTCATGCCTGTAATCTCAGCACTTTGCCAGGCTTGAGCCCGGGAGTTTGAGACAAGCTTAGGCAACATAAGGAGACCCAGTCTCTACAAAAACAAAAATAAAAAAATTAGCCTGGCATAGTAGCACATGCCTGTAGTCCCAGCTACTCGGGAGACGGAGGCAGGAGGATCACTTGAGCTCAGGAGGTTGAGGCTACAGTGAGCTCTAATCGCATCACTGCACACTCCGGCCTGGGTGGCAGAGCAAGACACTACCTCTTAACAGATTTTTTTTTTTAATTAAAAAAACTAAAAACCAGCTAGGTGTGGTGCTCAAGCCTGTAATTCCAGTGCTTTGGCAGACCAGGTGAGAGAACTGCTTGAGGACAGGAATTTGAGACTAGCCTGGGCAACACAGCAAGGCCTCATCTCTAAAAAAAAGAAAAAAGAAAAGAAAAAAAATTTATTGGGCTGGTTGTGGTGGCTCATACCTATAATCCCAACATTTTGGGAGGCTGAGGTAGGAGGGTTACTTAAGCCCAGGAGCTAGAGACTGGCCTGGGCAACCTAGGGAGACCCTGTCTCTACAACAAAAATTAAAATTAACTAGGCACAGTGGTACGTGCCTGCAGTCCCAGCTATTCGGGAGGCTGAGGTGGGAGGACTGCTTGAGCCCAGGAGGTCAAGGCTGCAGAAAGGTGTAATTGTGCCACTGTAGTCCAGCCAGGGCAACAGAGCAAGAATCTGTCCCCTCAGAGAAAAAAAATGGCCATGTATGCCTGTAATCCAAGCTACTTGGGAGGCCAAGGCTGGAGAATTGCTTGAACCCAGGAGTTGAAGGCTGCAGTAAGCTACAATCTAGCTGTTGCACCTGGGCCTGGGCGGCAGGGTGAGTCTGTCTCAAAAACAAAACAAAAACAACTATAAATGACATCTTAGGGAAATCCAGATATGCCTGGGTATTAGACAGTGTTGAGGAATTGTTCATTTTCTGATCAAATAAAAGGATTGTGGCTATACAGGCTTACTCATATAGAGGTAGGATGCAGTACTTCAAAGTAAAGAATCAAGTCTCTGCAGCTTACTCGCAAATATACTGATATTTATATACATACACATAAATAAGCCAGTGTTACAATATGTCAACAACTGTTGACTCTAGTGCTGGTGGTAGGCATACAAGCACACTTGTACACTACTCTTTCCATTTTGATTTTGTTTTCATTAAGAAAAGTTGCAAGTACACCAACCTTCAGAGGCACTCACTACCACCATCCCCCCTCAAACTCCAAATGACTCCAACAAGATAAAAGACACCACGGCATCCTGGGAACTGAATATAAATTAAGTTTATTACAAAAAGCAAAATGTTAGTTTCTCATTGTGAGTGATTCAAGAAAACAAGGGTAAGAGTCCTGACCGGAGCTGGGAGCAGGACACCAGTATGCAGGCTGGCAGGGGCCAAAGGCCAGGCTCAGGAGCGGGCTGACAAGCACTGATTCACAACCTCCAGGAGGTGGGTGTTCTCCAGGGCAGCTGCCACCCTCTCCTTATCTGCAAGTTGCTTGTTCACTAGGTGGGAAGAAGGGTGTGGGGAAGGCAGAGTCAAAGCTAGGCTCTGTCCAGGCTGCTGGCCAGCCCAGCCCTACCTCTGAACCTTTGTATAGGATCTGTCCCCACCAGCAACAAAGCCCTCCTGTCACTTCCTTCCCAGGACCCCACACCTTGATCAGGCTACCTCAACCACCTGAGCCCACCTAGCCTGCCTTCTTAGGACCTCTCCACTTGACTGCCTCCTGTACTGCTGAAGCCTGACACATTCTGGTCCTGTATACTTGGTGAAAGGGGATTTGGGAGAAAAGGACACAGTAAGCACAGGAGATTCAAGTCAAGCCAGCTTTGGTCTAAGCTATCACCTACACTGATATTCACTCACCCAGTCACCCATCCCCAGTCTTGTCCATAGACTCCTGGGCAAGAGCTGAACCTCAGACTGCTTAGGGTGCCCAAGCCAACACCCTCACCACCAGCCCACACTTACCTGCATGCTCTGAGGCGTGGGTCCCTGGGGTAATGTGCACGTCCATCTGGGAGGGAGATAACCAGGGCCTAAACACAGACCACCAGCCCAGAATTCCCCCCCGCCCCAGGCCCCAGACCCTCAGGCACCATCTCCAGCGGATCCTTCTCCCTAATCATACCTTTGGACTCTGGCCCATCGTTTATACTCCAAACCCATCCACAGCTATTCCAATCCCCCTCCCCCTGAAGACTGAGTCTTGCTCTATGGCCCAGGCTGGAGTGCAATGGCAAGATCTTGGCTCATTGTGACCTTCTTCTCCCAGATTCAATCAATTGTCCTGCCTCAGCCTCCTGTGTAGCTGGGACCACAGGCCCACGCCACCACGACCTGCTAATTTTTGTAGTTTTAGTAGAGATGAGGTTTTTACCATGTTGGCCACACTGGTTTCAAACTCCTAACCTCAGGTGATCCACCCACCTCAGCCTCCCAAAGTGCTGGGATTACAGGTGTGAGCCACCATGCCCGGCCTTAGTTATTCCAATTTTATCCAAAGAACTGGCCCACAATTGTTGATTTAAAGGCCTGCCTGGGCCCCACCCCTGGTCCAAACCCATCTGCAGCTCCTTGCTGCCCTTCCTGCCACACTCTTAAATATTTTTCTCCACTTTGCAGCTCAGATTTTAATTCTTGTCACATCGACTTGGAAAGTTTCCTCCCAGTTTCCTCTCTGCTAATTGGAATCCTTCCAGGCCCCACTCTGATGTCCTCTCCATGTTCATGCTCTCCCAGTCCCCGTCCTCAGCAGTAGACCCTCATTGCCTGGTCCCACTTCCAGGGCTCAGCTCCAACTGACCTTGAAACGCTGAGGAAGGGAGCGCAGAAGCTTGACCTTGATGGACAGGCCAATAAGAGTGGCCATGCTGCAGTGCGGAATGGTTGGTGTGAAGGCCACAGCCACTGTACTCTCAGGGTCGCTAACCTGGTTGTGGAGGGGAGACGTCAAGAGGCAACCACCCTCAGCCCAAGGCCTCTCTTCTTAGTTTGTTGCTTTGGGCAAATCATCCAACTTCTATGGGCCTGAGTTTCAACACCCATAAAATAGGCAAAACAATCTCCCCTCCCACAGATACCCTTCGGTGTCCGTGAGTGGAGAGCACTCCAACTCCTGGTGCACAGAAATCTTTCTGACTCTCTAGAACAACTCGCTCCCCTCCGAAGTGACTCACCTGAACCCGGACCTGCTCTACTACGTTCAACTCCTCTAGCGTCAGTGGATGCTCCGGGTCGTTGATGGAGCGAATCAGATGTGGCAAGTGAAGGAAAAGGGACTCTCCGCCTTTGCCCACTCAGAACCCTTTGTCAGGAATCCCCGGTCGGGATGCGGCTCCAACAGCTGCTGGACATCACTGCTCCCCCCACCGCAAGCCCCCGGAACCCGCCCGCGGCCAGCAGCGGCGGATATCGAAGATCTCGCGTGCGTCGATGCTGTCGGGAACCTGCTCGTCCTCCTCGCCCGCCGTCACGGGCCGCTCCCCAGAGCGCTGGTAGATGAGGGGGTTGGCATTCTCCAGCAGGCCGCCGCCAACCCCGCCGCCGCCCACCATCGCGGAACCAACACCGCCGATACTAGCAGGCGTGCACTTCCGCTCCTACGCGCACTTCCGGGAAGCGGAAAGGGGCGTGGCGCGGTGACGGGGTCCCGCGAGGGACACGCCGCGCTGTGCGTTCTCGGCCTGGAGTGTGAGAGAAGCGGTGACCTCCGCTCTGGCGGCTCGGTCCCGGGAACATGACGATCAGTGAGGCAAAGGCGCTTAGAAGGGACCCCGGCGGTGCTGGGTCCTGTGAGCCCGTAGCAGGCTGAACCCAGAGTCCACCGCCGGGTCTCAGAGGGCACTACAGGGTGTGAGGTGATCCCTGCACCGCTTCCTCCGAGAAGTCAGGCTGTCCGGGCCCTCCCGTGCCCAGGCTAGTTAGTTGGTCGCCTCTGACCTGGCAGTGTCTTGGGATCTCCCGGTGACGCGCCTGCCTCCCCGGCTGCACCATAGGCCCAGGAGTGCCTGTCCCAGCGCTTGGACCGGCAGGTGCTCAGGAAATGTTTGCCAAGTGGATAAATGACCCTGGCCATGGCCTCCCGGAGAGGTGAGGAAACCAAAAGCCAGGGAGGAAAAGCCGGGCGGTTCTTAAGTAGTGCCGCGGTCACGTGTACGTTTCAAAAGAAGGGCATGACTGAGGTTTCTGGGAGGAAAACTCGGAGACCCGCAAACCCTGGACTATAAGGGGATGAGAGGTAGTGAAGTGGGACCCAGGAAATTGAGTCCTGAAAGCAAGGAGGAGCGTACATAATGAAGGGCGCCGTCACTCCTCGCTGCCTTTGCTCAAGCGGTTCCCTTCACCCTGAGCAAGTTCCTTCCCATTTTTCCGTCTGTGGGGATCCTGAACATGCACCTCCACAGAGAAGTCCTCGTGGGTTCGCCAATTCTAGTTTATTGCTCCCTCCTCTGGATCCCCCAGCGCGCTCATCGGGCATGTAGACAAGGACAGGTTTGAGGAGAGGATTCTCTATATGGGGAGGTGATGCAGAAGCCACGCAGCCCCTTCCGAGAATGCCAAAGGGGCCCGGGCAGAGGGAAAGTGGCGGTGCCCCGGCCTGCCTGCCACTAGATCCCCACCAGCCTGTGACTGCTCAGTCCAGCTCTCCTGCCAAATCCATCTTGCCCTGGCCCAAGCCAGCGCATCCCGCCCACTCCCTGCCCAGTCCAAACTCCGAGGCTGGGCGAGGCCCTGATCCACGGCTGGACAGACCCGGGGCAGCCTCTGGGTGGACAGCAGCGTGTCCGCCGACGGCGCACCGAGACCTGCGACCATGCTGCTGGACCGATTTCGGGCGCAACTGAGCGCAGTGGCCTGTGGGCTCCTACTGCTTCTCATTCAGGGCCAGGGTGAGGCTCATGTGGAGGGACGGCAGGGACCGGGCTCAGACCTGCCAAATGCTGGGGAGGCAGAACCTGACAGTGCGGGAGGGAAGGCGCCTGGGAGGTAGGAGCTGGTGGAGATGACAGCGTGGAACTCGTGAGTTCCACACCACACCTCCCCGACGCCAGGTGGGCTTCTAGAAGCACAGAAAGAGTTGGGCTGCTGGACACCACAGTGAGGAGCCAGCAGAGTACAGGGGTCCAGGAGCGCCGGGACATGCCAGGCTGGGTCGGCAGCCTCAGGACTGAGTGGGTGAGGAATTGGGGGTGCAGGGATTCAGTCCATTTCCCTCTTATGATTGTGGCTCTAACCGGTGCTGCTGGCAGATAAGAACAATAACAGCTTCTTGCAGCATCTGGCTCCGAGTGTGTGGCATCCTTGGCCAGGGGGGCACCCTGACCCTTGCAAAGGGGCCTCAGACAAGGTTAGTGGCCTTTGGGGAACAGAAGCCCCCAGGCACCAAATCCTAAAGCAGATCTAAGAGGCTACAGTGGCTGGGTGCGGTTGGCTCATGCCTGTAACCCCAGCACTGTAGAAGGCCAAAGGGGTGAATCACTTGAGCCCAGGAGTTGGAGGCCAGCCTGGGCAACATAGTGAGACTCAGTGTGGACAAAAAATTAAAGGAAATTAGCGGGGCTGTGGTGACTTGTGACCTGTAGTCCCATCTACTTGGGAGGCTGAGGTGGGAGGATCACTTTAGCAGGGGAGGTTGAAGCTGCAGTGGGCCGTAAGTGCACTACTGCACTCCAGCCTGGGTGACAAAGCAAAAATCTATCCCCAGAAAAAAGAGCCAAAGAGCTTGTGGTGTCCCTCCCCCCACTTACATCATCCTGGGCAAGGGCAGAACTTGGCTTCCCAGGCAAAGGTGATGGCTTTGTGTGCCTGCCAGGCTCCTCCAGGCCCTTATCGGAAGCTTGGGGAGTGTTTTTGGCCTTTGGCATCTCACCCGAACTCTCCTAAGTGTATGATCTGACTGTCTCTCCCGACCCTTTCCCAATGTAATCTGCACAGGTGGAACCATACTCCCCCTGCACCGCAGTGCACCCCTGCAGGGCTTCCTCCCATTCCTGTCCTTGACCACATTCTAGAGTTCACAAGGAGCCCAAGCAGGAAGAGCTGCCCGGCCTCACAGATGCCTACCTTTTAAAATATTTTGGGCCAGGCACAGTGGCTCACACCTGTTATCCCAGCATGTTGAGAGGCAGAGATGAGAGAACCGCTTGAGGCTAGGAGTTAGAGACCAGCTTGGGTGACAAGATTTGTCTCTACCAAAAAAAAAAAAAAAAAAGAGTCAGGCATGGTGGCCCTCAGCTGTACTCCCAGGTACATGGGAGGCTGAGGTGGGAAGATCTCAAGCCCAGATCTTCAGCCTGGGCAACAGATAGAGACCTTGTCTGCCATATATATATATATATATATATATATATATATATATATATATATATATATATATACACACACACATATATATATATATATACACATATATATATATATATATATATATATATATAATTTTGGTTTGGATCCACATTCAGAAAGAATAATTGACAAGCCATAGGAGGGTACAGGTGATGTGTGCCATCTTCTTTTGTCCCAACCAGTCTTGGCTTCTCCTCGGGGGCCATGAAAGTCCCCATGGCATTTTACATGGTGCCCAGCAGTTTACACAGGAATAGATGTGTGCACTTGTCCTTGATTTTCATCTAAACGGTCATAAACTGACCCACTTTCTGGGGCCAGGCTTCTCCACTGTCTAACACAAGGGGTGGCCTCCTCACACCCCTACATGGTAGAGCTTCTTCATGATGATTAATGGAAGGGCTTCTCTAAAGGATGAAGCAGGTAACAAATCACTTTATTACATGAAGGTGATGTAACAGGTCTCTAACAGGGACATTTCAGCAGGTGATGTCCTTTGCTGTAACAAACATCAGGCATCAGTGGCCAATGGCCACAGAGAATTACATGGATGGACATCCCCTCTAGCAAGGAATTGTGTGAAGGCAGCGTGTTACTGGGGAGAGGAGTGGGCCTTTTGACTTGGAGACATTGTTAAGTTGTCCTCTCTGGTGCCTGTAAATGTCTATGATCCTGGCCTCACCCACACCAGGTGGCATCAAATAGTTTATCCATGTTGAACTGACAGGTGTAGAGTAACATTAGCTCCCTAAGGCTGTTTTTGTTTTGGACTTTTGTTTTTTTTGAGACAAGAGTTTCACTCTGTTGCCCAGGCTGGAGTACAGTGGTGCCATCTCGACTTACTGCAACCCCTGCTTCCAAGGTTGAAGTGATTCTCATGCCTCAGCCTCCAAAATAGCTGTGTCTACAGGAATATGCCACCATGCTCAGCTAATTTTTGTATCTTTTGGTAGAGACAAGGTTTCATGATGTTGGCCAGGCTGGTCTCGAACTCCTAACCTCAATTGCCTCGGCCTTTCAAAGTGCTGGGATTATAGACTTGAGCCACTGCGCCTGGCCTGTTTTTTGACTTTTTATTGTGGAATGGGGCTCAGATTTCCCAAATCCTACAGAAGCAGAACCTGAGATTACAAAAGGGAGGGTGCCAGGCAGGTGGGAGCTGGTGGAAATAACAACAGCAGGTGAACCTCCCTGAGGCACAGAGAGGGTCAAGGCTGCTTGAGGACTGCACAGCACCAAGGGATGAGCCAAGTCTGAGATAGAAAGAGTAGTATAACAAATCCAACATGTCCATGTCTAGCTTCAGCAATGACAAAGATCTCATTTTTGTTTTTGTTTTGAATCAGCTTTCTCAGGTTGAATATAACCTGGTGTTTTCTGGACAGCCACCTCTCCCTTGCACCATTATTTGACACCCCAGACATCATATCATCTGTAAATTTTTCATGTCCTTCTAAAACAAAAGGAACATATATATGTATGTGTGTGCATCACCACAACATAATATGTTCTCAATTTAATCAAATGTACAGTCAAGTGTTCTTTCATATTTATAAATGATATTTTTATTAATACAAGGTTTTTTAAAAATCAGGATTCAAATAAGGTTCATATTTTGCAAATTGATAGACTTTTTTTGAAACAGAATCTCACTCTGTCGCCCAGACTCACTGCAACTTTGCTTCCCAGGTTCAAGGGATCTTCATGCATCAGTTTGCCAAGTAGCTGGAATTACAGGTACATACCACCACACCTGGCTAATTTTTAGTAGAGCAGGGTTTCACCATGTTGGCCAGGCTGGTTTTGAACTCCTGACTTCAGGTGATTCGCCCACCTCAACCTCCCCAACTGCTGGGATTACAGGTGTGAGCCTCCATGCACAGCCAATTTTCTTGGCTTTATACTTAGGAGTGGAATTGCTGGGTTATATGGCAACTCTGTGTTTAGTCCACTGAAAAACTGCCAGACTGTTTTTTAAAGCAGCTGTGCTAGTTTACCTTCTCACCAGCAATGTATGAAAGTTCCAAGTTTTCCACATCCCTACCGACACTTATTATCTGTCATTTTTATGTGTTTCTTGAATCTCTTTCAATCTTCAGATTTTCCCTCTGCCTCTCTTTTATTTTCTTTCTAAATTTTGCTGTGTGTTGAAGAAACCAGTTTATTTGTTCTGGAGAGGATCCCACCCTCTAGGTTTTGCTGATTGCATCCCAGTGGTGTCTTTTTGTTTGTTTGTTTGTTTGTTTGTTTGCTCTTGTTACCCAGGCTGGAGTGCAATGGCGCGATCTCGGCTCACTGCAACCTCCGCCTCCTGGGTTCAGGCAATTCTCCCGCCTCAGCCTCCTGAGTAGCTGGGATTACAGGCACGCGCCACCATGCCCAGCTAATTTTTGTGTTTTTTTTTTTTGAGACGGAGTTTCGCTCTTGTTACCCAGGCTGGAGTGCAATGGCGTGATCTCGGCTCACCACAACCTCCACTTCCTGGGTTCAGGCAATTCTCCTGCCTCAGCCTCCTGAGTAGCTGGGATTACAGGCACGTGCCACCATGCCCAGCTAATTTTTTGTATTTTTAGTAGAGACGGGGTTTCACCATATTCACCAGGATGGTCTCAATCTCTTGACCTCGTGATCCACCTGCCTTGGCCTCCCAAAGTGCTGGGATTACAGGCGTGAGCCACCGCACCTGGCCTAATTTTTGTATTTTTAGTAGAGACAGGGTTCCGCCATGTTGACCAGGATGGTCTCGATCTCTTGACCTCATGATCCACCCACCTCGGCCTCCCAAAGTGCTGGGATTACAGGCTTGAATTGAGCCACCGCACCCGGCCCCAGTGGTGTCTTTTAACTGTTCTTCTGTCCCCTGTCTACCCTGTAAACTTGTATTTAGATTCCAGAGGCATAATCAGATTTCGATTTGGGGTTTTGTTTTGTTTTGTTTTTTGGAGGACTACTTCACGTGTGGTGTTGTGTACTTCTGATAGAAAATATGTAATGTCTGATTGTCTTGCTTTTTGTGATACCGCAAAATGAGTGCTTGACATCGCAGTTAGAATTCAATATACATTTCTCTTACTGTGAATGAGACAAAGATCTCTATTTATTTGAGAGACACTGATTTGTATTGCTCATTCTGAACATATACTGCTTTTTCTGTTGTGTAGCTGGCATATTCTTTGTAGAAATTCTTTATCTATTAAGAGGACTGATTTTCTCTATTAGGTGATTTTTAATCACTTCCTCCCTTCCTAATCCCCACAGCAAGCAGGCTGTGCTCTTTTATTTGGAGACTGGGTCTTGCTTTGTTGCCTAGGCTAGAGTGCAAGGGCGGGATCATAGCTCATGCAGAGTGGGACTCCTCCTGCCTTAGCCTCCTGAGTAGCTGAGTAGCTGGGACTACAGGCCCACACCACCGCCCAGAGGCTGTGCTTTTTTTTTTTTTTTCTTTTGAGACAGGTTTTCACTCTGTCACCCAGGCTTGAGTGCAGTGATGAAATCAAAAAATGGCTCACTGTAGCCTCAACCTCCCAGGCTCAAGCAATCCTCCCAAGTCAGCCTCTCAAGTACCTGGGACTACAGGCATGTGCCATGATGCCCAGCTAATTTATTGATTTTTAGGCAAAGACAGAGCACCACTATAGTGCCCAGGCTGGAATCTGCGCTTTTTATGTCTCAGCCACAGCCACACTTCTCTCTTGTAGCTCTTCTCACCAACATCACTCATGGTTTCGAGGCTGCTTTCTTTATGTCATTTCTTGCCACTTTGGGCATGACATCTCTGAGGACAGAAACCTTGCCTGCACAATTCCCACCATCATCCTACAGTCACATGACCTGGCCCACAGTTGAAAGGACACTCTAGTCCTATCAAGGGCCTGTGACCCTTTGTTTGAAGGTCCCAGGGCGGAATGATGGTGCCGGGCCCCAGGGAGCCTTAGCCTGGTGGGATGGAAACAGGCCCAATAAGGCAGAGCTGGAAGGGAGTGTCCCAGGCAGGAAGTCTGTAAAGCTGTGTTTATAGACCAGGGTCCTTGAGCTGAGCTGAGGATGCCAAGGAGGCAGCAAAACCAACAGTCTGGGAGGGCAGCTGATTGGTCAGATCCAACCGTGATGTCTGTCTGTCTGCCCACAGGCCAGGACTCTGCCAATCCCATCCGGACCACACACACGGGACAGGTGCTGGGGAGTCTTGTCCACGTGAAGGGCGCTGATGTGGGGGTCCACACCTTCCTGGGAATTCCCTTTGCCAAGCCACCTATAGGTCTGCTGCGATTTGCACCCCCTGAACCCCCTGAATCTTGGAGTGGTGTGAGGGATGCAACCGCCCATCCGGCCATGTAAGCTCTCCCAGGGGTCCAGAAACTCCAGGCCCTGGCGTAGGGTAGGGGTGCTCTGAGCTCAGCTAGGCTGCAGTGCTCATTTCATCTAAACCCCCACAGCCAGTTTTCCTTCTGAGTCTTGTGGATTCCCACATGCATTGTCCCAGTGAGCATGCTGAGGTTTGGGAGGGCGTAATAACTTCTCAGACCCCTGGCTCAAAGCTCAGCATTCAGAGGGCATTGCCTCCAGGTGCTGAAAGTAGGGAGAGAGATACATATCTCCCCAGATTCTGGTTATGACAAGCTTTCTCTGCCACCAGTGGCAGGTGTCTCTGGGAAAGGTTCAGGTTGGCTCTATGAACCTTGTAGGAGCCCCTAACTCTAGTGGCAGATATTGCAGATAGCTGAAGGGAACAGTAGTAACTTTCTGGGGACCTGCATTCTCCACAGTCACTGTGTCCACCCACGGGGCCAGGAGCCATTGGCCAAGAGATGTGTATATGTTTACAGCTGGAGACCATTTGAGAATGACGGGTTTTGAGAGTTTAGACTTGAGATGAGGGACATCCTACTGCCTTTCTCATGAGAAATTAGCATCCATTCATTCATGTAGCACACATATGTGGGCTACTCCCCTGTTCCAGGCCTGAGGGAGTACAGCAACATAGTGGTGAATGTCAACACATGCACCAGTGGTTCTCATAGAAACCCCTAAGAGTCAAGGTTTCCGGTGTCGGGAGGAATGATATCCAAGGTCCTCAATAACCTTGAGGCCTGCCTGGAAATCCAAGCTCCATTCCAGCTTCCCCAGAGCCTGTAGCCTGTAACTTGGTGGGAAGGCATTTTAGAGAGGGAACATGTGTGAGCAGGTTATTGTGGAAAGAGGCTGAGGGTGGTTGGGAGCACATCTGAATCCAGGGTCTGGTTTTAGACATGACCTGGACCCTGGACTGATTGTTTTCATTACCAGGTGTCTGCAGAACCCCACTGTACTGGATTCAGAGGTTATAAACCAAGTCAATGTGACCATCCCCTCCATTTCCATATCCGAGGACTGCTTGTACCTCAGCATCTACACACCGGCCCATACCCATGAAGGCTCTAACCTGCCGGTAGGTGTCAAACCACCGTTCACTGGGAGTGAGAGGACAATTCTTCTGCAAGAAGCTACAAAGGACAATATTAGCTCAGGCCCTGCTGTAGGGTGGGCCATGCTGAAAAGCTTCTTACTATCAGGTCCAAGAAATACTCCTTACCCAGACTAGGCAGTTGACCCCTGCTGCTCCCAGAGGTCAATGGCTGTGGCTCTGGGTTGGACTCAGGACTCATCCAACCAACTCATTCCCAGGAGATCCACTCAAGTGCCAAAGGGCTGCACTTTAAGGTTACCAAGATCCCCAGCCATGGATAATGTGTTGGGCCTATGAGAATCGGCACACACAAAATTAGCTTGTTAGAGATGGCATCTTGCTCTGTTGCCCAGGCTAGAATGCAGTGGCATGAACATAGCTCTCTGTAACCTTGAATTCCTGGGCAATCCTCCCACCGTAGTCCAGTAGCTGGGACTACGGGCCTATGCCACTATGCCTGGCTAATTTTTAAAACATTTTCTGTTGAAACAGGGTCTCACTAAGTTATTCAGGCTAAGGAGGACATTTTTGATGAATGTTCATGTGGGGCCATCAGGGAGACACCCCTTTTCTTTCCACTTTGGTGACTTTTCTGGGACTAATGAAACCAGGCTTTGATACAGAGGGTAGACCCCAAAGATTGGGAGGCCTGGTCTTCCTGACAGATCTTGGGTGCCTGTCCTGTGGCCCACATGATGAATTTGTGCTGGGTAGGTATAGAGGCAAAGCACTTGTTGTTCTAGGTAGGGGCCCTGGTGGGGTTGGGGCTGGGTAGGAGCATTGTGGTAGCTACCTTGATTTCCCCAGGTGATGGTGTGGATCCACGGTGGGGGGCTTGTTTTTGGCATGGCTTCCATGTATGATGGTTCCATGCTGGCCGCCTTTGAGGACGTGGTAGTGGTCACCATCCAGTACCGCCTGGGTGTCCTGGGCTTCTTCAGGTGAGACTAGGGCTGGGTTTGGCAATGGGGGCTGAGCGGGGCCAGGACAGCCCTGTGATCCCTGTCCTTGCTACTTCTCAGCACTGGAGACAAGCACGCAACCGGCAATTGGGGCTATCTGGACCAAGTGGCCGCACTACGCTGGGTCCGGCGGAACATCGCCCACTTTGGAGGCAACCCTGACAGTGTCACCATTTTTGGCGAGTCTGCGGGTGGCACGAGTGTGTCCTCGCTTGTTGTGTCCCCCATAGCCCAAGGACTCTTCCACAGGGCCATCATGGAGAGTGGTGTGGCTGTGCTGCCCGGCCTCATTGCCAACTCAGCTGATGTTATCTCCACGGTGAGCCCTCAGCCGCAGAGGCCTAGGCCCGCGGCCCCTCATACCTCTCAGAGCCTCTGTCTGTTAAATGGGGATGACAAGGGCCATCTAGGGTCAGAATGCACATCCTGCTGCCATTGCAGAGGCCAGGTATGTTCTGTGGCCTCTATGCAAAGTGGTCACCCTGGGGATCCCCATCATAAGGAGAACCATCTAGGCAGATGAGATGGCCCCTGTGTCTGGGAATTCTGAGTTGGAACACGGTCAGAACTGCAGGAATTCAAACACAACGCCCTGTGAGATTTGGGGTGCCCGTGCCCCCAGCTAGGCCTTGGGCAAACTCCTCTAATCTACCTGGAAGGATGAGCCAGCCCCTGCCTGGTCCCTTTGCAGGTGGTGGCCAACCTGTCTGCGTGTGACCAGGTTGACTCTGAGGCCCTGGTGGGCTGCCTGCGGGGCAAGAGTAAAGAGGAGATTCTTGCAATTAACAAGGTTGGTCTAAACGGATGTAGGTGTGGAGGAAGGGGTGCAATAGGCATGGGGCTGGTAATCCTGCAAGTCCCTCATATTCCCTGGGCACGTTGCCTCATCTGCATGCCTGGGAGTCATAGCCCTGGATGGGGACTGAAGGTCAGTGTATGCTGAGCCAGGCATCAGATCTCCTAGGGGGGATATAGCATCCAGGGATGGACCAGGAAGGAGGGGAAGGTACTCAGAGGGCATGGGAAGATGTCTGGGACCTGACCTCATTCCCTGAACTTGCATTTCCCCTCAGCCTTTCCAGTTGATCCCTGGTGTGGTGGACGGGGTGTTCCTGCCCAGGCACCCCCAGGAGCTGCTGGCCTCTGCTGACTTTCAGCCTGTCCCCAGCATCATTGGTGTCAACAATGATGAATTCGGCTGGATCATCCCCAGTGTGAGGCCCAACTTAAGCCCTCAAGTGCCTGGGGAGCTCATCTGGTAGTGGGAGGTCTTCAGGTCTTTGTAGCTCCAGGCTTATCCCATTCCCAACTACATATTCTCTCCCGGCCACCCAGATCGTGGGTATCTATGACCCCCAGAAGGAAATGGACAGAGAGGCCTTGCAAGCTGCTCTACAGAAAATGTTAACACTGATGGTAAGGCTCCTGGGGTCCCAGTCCAATGGGGAGGGGTTCCTCTTCTCTCCTGCGGCAGAGGAAATCCAACCCCAGATACCCTGCCTATGTAGCACCTTCATGAGCAAAGGCCCGGGTGTGAGTGTGGTTGGGGGTGGGGTCACCTCAGAGCCTCGCCTTTTCTCCCCATTCCCTGTTCCATCTCACGGTCCATCTCCCAAAGTGCAAGGTCACCTCCTCCCCTCCCCTGGCAGCCAGCCTAAGCTGCCTCTTCCTGATCCACCTGGGGTAGATGTTGCCTCCTACATTTGTGGACCTGCTGTTGGAGGAGTATATTGGAGACAGGAAGGATCCCCAGACCTTCGAAGCCCAGTTCCAGGAGATCATGATGGACTCCATGTTTGTGATCCCTGCACTCCAAGTAGCACATTTTCAGCGTGAGTATATTTGGAACTGAGGCCTGACTGGCAGTGGCACAGCTCAGGGCTGTGGGTCCCAGGTGAGACCTGTTGCTGTCCAAGTCCCCCCTCAAAGGGCCCCTGGGACACTTGATGTTCATCATTGGTATAAATTCTCCTCGCTAGCCCAAGAGACAGATATTTCCCCTGTTTCACAGATGAGGAAATTGAAGTTACAACCTTCAGTGACTTCTCCAAGATTGCATAGCTAAGAAGTCCAAAGCCATGATTTATCCCACGTCCCTCCCTCTGCTCCTGCCCTAGCCTGGGGCTCCCCATCCCACTGTCCAGATTCCAGCCAGCTTTGAACCTCGGTATCTTGTCACCATGGGTGAGGCCAGAAAGCTGCAGGGGAAGGCCACCGAGTCATGAGCTGTCCACCCCACAGGTTCCCAGGGCCCTGTGTACTTCTATGAGTTCCAGCATCAGCCCAGCTGGATCAAGAACATCAGGCCGCCACACGTGAAGGCAGATCATGGTGATGAGCTTCCCTTTGTTTTTGGAAATTTCTTCTGGGGCAACTATGGTGAGTCTTGTTCCTTTCCCAGGAAGTAGGCTGGGACCCTGGCTGGGTTTCTGAGGGGTGACTGTCCTCACTGCCTACATAAGGAAACTGAGGCTCAGAGAGAGGATGAGATCAGGTGTCCAAGGTCTTTCAGCTCCAAAGGCTGAGCTAGGATTTGAATTCATGACTTTTCAGACTGGCCTGTGCTCCCTCCACCTCTCCCCAGCCTTGGATGTCTGGTAGTGGCAGAGCAGGTGTTTCAGGGGCATGTTTGTTTCTTCAATGACTCCCAGTGGCAGAAGGAAGAAGGGACCTTTGGGGCCAGGAATGAGCTAAGAAGGAAGTCAGCTAGAGACTGGGCTAAGGGGAAGTTTGGGAAAGAGGAGGGCTGGGGCCTGAGGGCCGTGGGAGAAAAAGCAGAGAAGCGGGACTGGGGGCCTGACCAAGACACATGGCCCCTTCCTCTACGCAGTTAAATTCACTGAGGAGGAGGAGCAACTAAGCAGGAAGATGATGAAGTACTGGGCCAACTTTGCTCGAAACGGGTGAGACAGCACACCCCCACCTCAACCTCCCCAGGGTGGGGGCCTATGCCCATCCAGCACTCTCCTAGTCTGGGGTGACCTCATTAGCACACCCGTGTCCTTAATCACATGAGAGCTCCTTCCCCAGCTCCGGAACCCACTCAGACAGCGTAGGGGTGCCATGAGACAGTGACACACTCCATCTCCCCGGACTGCCTGGAGGGTGGGCGCTAGTGCTGGGCCACTGTCAGGGCCTCCTTCCCAGAGAGAGGGACACAGCAGGGCCAGCCGTCTTGTCGCCACTGGAGCTGACACTAGCAGAAGGGAGTTTGTCTTCTGTTTCTGGAAACCTCTGCCCTCATTTCCCCAAGCCCACCTGGCCTACTGGGGTGCCTTGCCTGACCAGAGTCAGGGTGGTCAGGTGTGGGCTCCAGGGGCTCAGAGCGACCCTCATACTGCCCTGCTGGGACGGCATGCCTACAGGAATCCCAATGGCGAGGGTCTGCCCCACTGGCCGCTGTTCGACCAGGAGGAGCGATACCTGCAGCTGAACCTACAGCCTGCAGTGGGCCGGGCTCTGAAGGCCCACAGGCTCCAGTTCTGGAAGAAGGTGCTGCCCGGAAAGATCCAGAAACTCGAGGAGGCTGGAGAGAGACACACAGAGCTGTAGCTTTCTGTGCCAGGGACAAGGGGTGGGCTCGCTTACAGGTGAGGGTCAGCCTGCTGTGTCCACACACACCCACTGAGGAGAAACAAGTTGATTCCTTCCTTCATATGGCCATTCTTTCATTCTTCTGTGCATCCATTCAGAAAGCATTTATTAAAAACTTACTCAGGAATAATGGCTCATACCTGTAATCCCAGCTATTGAGGAGGCCGAGATGACAGGATGGCTTGAGGCCAGAGGTTTGAGACCAGCCAGGGCAACACAGTGAGATCCCTTCCCAAGAAGAAGAAGAAGGAGAGAGAGAGACAGAGAGAGAGAGAGAGAGAGAGAGAGAGAGAGAGAGAATGTGTTTAGAAATTAAATAGGAAAATTTTGAGCTTCAAGTCAGTGACAAGTAAAAAAGATTTTTAAAAAGCAAAGAAAACAAAATGTAAGGAAAAAAATTAGAAAAATTAAAATTAAAAGAGCATAAAAGGCCAGGTACTGTGGCTGATGCCCATAATCTCATGATGGTAGTTGCTAGGCCTGCCACGAGTCCTCTCTTATTAGACACACTTGATAGATCCCCCCCACTGAGCTGTGGACGGGCAAACCCCCGTGTAATCCTACCCTCTTCAACACCCCACTGATCCCTGGGCCCCATCCTCCCTTCCTCACTTCCACCTTCTCCCTGCCTTCTCTCTTCTTTTGTCTGAGCCCCAGGCCTTTCTCACTCTGAGGTGCTCTAAAGAATGTTGCCCACACCTGAGTGTCAGATGCCTATGTTCGTTCATCCCTGAGATGTCTGAAAAAATAAAAATAAATTCTTAAGTCCTTTGCCTCTCCTCAAGCCCCTAGTGCTCTTGTATCAAGTGGCCAATAGAAAACCTGGACACCAGAAGCCCTAGTGTCTTAGTCCATTCAGCTGCTATAGCAAAAATACTATCGTTAGGCCGGGTGCCGTAGGCCACACCTATAATCCCAGCACTTTGGGAAGCTGACGTGTGTGGATCACTTGAGGCCAGGAGTTCGAGATCAGTCTGGCCAACATGCTGAAACCCTGTCTCTACTAACAATACAAAAATTAGCCGGGCTTGGTTGTGTACACCTATAATCCCAGCTACTTGGGAGGCTGAGACACCAGAATCACTTGAACCCAGGAGGCAGAGGTTGCAGTGAGCCAAGAATGCACCACTGCACACCAGTCTGGGATCGTGCCTATAATCCCAGCACTTTTGGAGGCTGAGGCGGGCCTCCTGAACTTGAGCCCAGGAGTTCCAGACCAGCCTAGGCAGCATGGAGAAACACCATCTCTACAAAAAAAAAATAAAAAAATTAGCCTCATGTGATGACACGCACCTGTAGTCTCAGTTACCCAGGAAGCTGAGACAGAAGAGTCACTTGAACCCAGAAAGCAGAGGTTGCAGTGAGCCGAGATCACAGCACTACACTCCAGCCTGGGTGACAACATGAGACACCCATCTCAAAAAAAAAAAAAAAAAAAAAGCCACCCTCCTATTCTGTGTCCTGCAGAGATGACTCATCCCACTTTTGTAAGAAGCAAGGCCGGGCTTGTCCATAGGCCCCTGAGTCTGGGCTGCCTGCGCAGTGGCCAAGAAAGCCAAGATGCTTCCTCAGTGGCCCATCTCCTGAAGTTTGCTCTTCTTCTAAGGGGTTCTGCAGACACTGTAAGGCCCCTACTCACAGGATCAGAGCACACTCGAAGATGTTTATCTGTGGGGTGTGTCCTGGACGTGGGATTGAGGGCCCAAAAGTCCAGGCATATCTAGGACAAAAGACTCCTGTCCCCTGACTCCCAGGGCCTCTCCATCCAGGGAGATGTCCTCTTGCCTTTCAGAATCCCCCTGCCAACATTTCAACCCCCTGAGCATCCCCGAACTCACCATGTGTGTCTACATGATTACTTTTCCTGCTTACCTCATTGCTGTCCCTAAACTTCTCCCCTTCCCGGCTCCGCAAAAACCTTCTCATATTTTATCTCATTGTGCAAAGGTGGCCAGTCGTGTTCAATCGGCCTCTTGGTTCCATCAAAGTATTTTCTCTTTGTCATTAAGACCATGTATTCCTGTCTAGACCCCAGTAATCCCCTTATGCCCTACCTCTGACTAACTTGCCTCTCAGGGTACCAGTTTTCCAGGGGAAAAGTCTCCCTTCTTTCCATCCAAGGCCTTTAAGCCCAACTACAGGCTTTCACGAAGTTTGGGGTGAAAGACCATGACACCCACATTGCCCATTTTGGCCACCAGGTGGCAGACAAGGATAATATGAAGCCTGGACTGACTTGAACTTGAGAGAGGGAGGAGCAGTTTCCTTTCAGTGAACACTGACTGGTGCATAATGTTCCCACTACATTCTGAAAGCATTTATTGAGCAAGGCTGCATGCATGCCTCTTCAATTCTGCAGATGTAGAATATACTTTCCCAGTATATGTTCCCAGGATTACTTAATAGGTATTTTTAACAGCTTTATGGTGAAGTAACTTGCAATTAAATTTACCTGCCCCTGACCTTTTTTTTCTTTTTCTTTTTCTTTTTTGAGACAAGCCCTTATTCTGTCACCTAGGCCTGAACGCAGTGGTACAATCACAGCTCACTGAAGTCTCCACCTCCTGGGCTCAAGCTATCCCCTACCTTAGCCTCCCCAAGTAGCCAGGACCATGGTCACACGCTACCATGGCTGGATATAGATATATATGTATTTTTTTATTTTTATTTATTTATTTTTTTTTTTGTAGAAACGAAGTCTCACCAGTTTGCCCAGCTGGTCTCCAACTCCTAGGATCAAGTGATCCTCCCGTCTAAGCATCCCAAATTGGTGGGATTAGAGGCAGGTGTGAACAACTGTGCTCAGCCCAAACTCACCCATTCTAAGTGTACATTTTGATCACTTTGAGTAAATCTATAAGACGTGCAAAAAAAAACTACTCCACCATGTGGAGTTTTAGAATGTTTCTATCACTTCAAAATTCCTGCAAGCCCTTTTGCAGTCAATCATTGTCCTGATCCACGCTCCTAGGCAACCACCAAACTGCTTTCCATTGCTATAGGTTGCATTTTCTACAATATAAATGAAATGATATAAATTATAAATTAATATTAATACTAATTATATAAATAAAATAACTTGTGATTGGCTTCTGTCAATTTTGTGTTTGAAATTCAACCAGTAGTTATTTTCTTTTATTGTGGAATGGTATTGTGTGTATAAATATACCCCTTTTCTTTTTCTTTGGAGACAGTCTTGCTACGTTGCTTAGGCTGGTCTTTAACTCCCAGGCTTAAACAATCCTCCTGCCTCAGCCTCCCAAAGTGCTAGGATTATAGAAGTGAGCCACTGTGCCACGCCAATATATGCCATTTTATTCATTCATCAGTAGGTGCACATTTGAGTGACTTCCATTTTGAGGGTATTTTTATAAAGCTGCTGTGAACATTTTCAGACAAGTCTTTCATTTCTGTGGGGTAAACGCCTGAGAGTGGACACTCACCATACAATGCCATTCTGGGTCATATGGTAAGAGTATGTTTAATGTTTAAAGAAAATGCCTCTTATTTAAAGATCTACACTAGGCTGGGTGTGGTGGCTCATGCCTATAATCCCAGCACTTTGTGGGGCCGAGGTGGGCAGATTGCTTGAGACCAGGAGTTCGAGACCAGCCTAGCCAACATAGTGAAACCTCGTCTCTACTAAAAATACAAAAATTAGCTGGGCGTGGTGGTGCATGCCTGTAATCCCAGCTTCTTGAGAGGCTGAGGCACAGGAATTGCTTGAGCCTAGGAGGCAGAGGTTGCAGTGAGCCGAGATTGCAACACTCTACTCCAACCTGGGCAACATAGTGTGACTCTTAAAATAAATAAATAAATAAATAAATAAATAAATAAATATCTACACTAAACAATAAATAAACCTAAGCGGAAGTGCAGCAGCACGATCTTGGCTCCCTGCAACCTCCACCTCCCAGGTTCAAGCGATTCTCCTGCCTCGGCCTCCGGAGTAGCTGGGATTACAGGTGCCCACCGCCACGCCCAGCTAATTTTTTGTATTTTTAATAGAGATAGGGCTTCACCATGTTGGCCAGGCTGGTCTTGAACTCGTGACCTCAAGTGATCTGCCCACCTCAGCCTCCCAAAGTGCTGGGATTACAGGTGTAAGCCACTCTGCCTGACCAGAATTTTTTTTTTAATTAAATGCCCAACTGTTTTCCAAAATGACTATATCATTTTTGTAACCCCACCAGCCATCTCTGAGCGTTCCAGCTGCTTTCTATCTTCACCAACACTTGGTCTTGTGGGCCTTAAATCTGACTTTTTCAGGTTTGGGGGTTTTTGTTGTTGTTTTGTTATTGTTGTTGTTGTTGTTGTTGTTTTAGAGTCAGGGTCTCGCTCTATCACCAAGGCTAGAGTGCAGTAACATGATCCTAGCTCACTGTAACCTTGAACTCCTGAACTCAAGGAATCCTCCCACCTCAACCTCCTGAAGAGCTAGGACTACAAATATTTTTTAAAATTTTGTGGCCAGGCACTGTGTCTCACACCTGCAATCCCAACACCATGAGAGGCCAAGGTGGGCAGATCATGAGGTCAGGAGATCAAGACCATCCTGGTCAACATGGTGAAACCCTGTCTCTACTATAAAAATACAAAAATTGGCTGGGCGTGGTGGCGTGCGCCTGTAGTTCAAACTACTCCGGAGGCTGAGGCAGGAGAATCGCTTAACCTAGGAGGCAGAGGTTGCAGTGAGCTGAGATTGTACCACTGTACTCAAGCCTAGCAACAAAGCAAGATTCCATCTGGAAAAAAAAAAAAAAAAAAAAATTGTGGAGATGAAATCTCATTATGTTGCCCAGGCTAATCTTGAACTCCTGGGCTGAGCCTCCCAAATTGCTAGCATTACAGGTGTAAGTCATCGCACCTGACCCTGATTTTTTAAATAGGTGTTTAGTGGCATCTCATTGCAATTGGTTCCTTGGACTTTTAGCCTCTGCTTTTGACTCTTTCTCTGTCTGTGTCTCTATCTCTCTACATTTACTATGTATGTAAGATTTCCTCCCACACATAGGGCAATGTGCTTCTGAGATGACTCTTCTCTTCCTTTCACTATATTTTCTTGAGACAGGGTCTCCCTTTATTACCCAGCAGTCACATGATCATGGCTCACTGCAGCCTCGACTTCCTGGGCTCAGGCAGTCCTCCCACCTCAGCCTCTGAGTAGCTGGAACTAAAGACATGCACCACCAGCCTGGCTGAAAAAAAAAAAATTCTGTAGAGGTAAGGTCTCGC